ATAGGAAGGAAGGAAGGAAGGAAGGAAGGAAGGAAGGAAGGAAGGAAGGAAGGAAGGAAGGAAGGAAGGAAGGAAGGAAGGAAGGAAGGAAGGAAGGAAGGAAGGAAGGAAAAGAGGTTAATTTCATTTGCAAATCATGAATCAGTTTGATTTTCTAACAATAAAAAGATTATCAAGAAACTAGAGTTGTCATGCTGAGAGAGCCACTAACTACCAAGTACTAAATCCACAGAATTATATCAGCAAGACCTCAGCAGTTTTGCATTGCCTGCAAGTCTATTATGTCTGGTCTCGGAAACTATACAAGTTTGTGTCTGAAGAAAAAGGCAAATTTCTGACCTGCTTTATAAAACATAAAGAAGGAGGACTCAGGGAACTACAGACTTTAATAAAACAGTCTCACACGAGGTTGACAAATATGTCAGGAATTCTGGAATATATTTGATCCAAAAGTCTGAAATAGGTGACCACCCGAAGATATCATAGCCCTAACTCTCTTTCACCTTCACAAAAATCTGACCATCTATTGATGTGAAAGAGAAGATGAATGACTGCGATTTGAAGTCTCTTGACTGCCAGGTCATTGCTTATTTCCTCATATCTTTTGTTTTAGCTCTGGGGAAACCATACTTGGGAAAGGCTGGTAAATGAATTGGTACTCATCACAGAAAAAAAAAAACCAACAAAAAATTTGTTTGTTCTCAGTATGCTCACATCATCATTGTGAACTTCCTCTTCCTTTCAAGAAAACTCAAAACCACTACTCTGAGGACTCTGAGGGACTTCAAAATGGTGAATATAACACCAGAGAAAAGGGGAGAAAGGAAGGCTTTCTTCTGTAACGTTTTTGCTACATGATTAATGAGGTTTATTGTATTAAATAGGTAGGTTTGACCAAAGTCATAACAGACTAACTCGCCTAATGGAAAGTTCTTGGTTCGATGCTTGCAGCATATTGACTTTGACCAGTGGCAAGATTTTGATAGTGACAGCACAGAGGAGAGCTATGGCTATCTCTTAAGAAAACAGATACATCAAAATGCAACTCAGTTCTTCACAATTAAATAGTGGAAAGATTAATTTCAAATGTGTCTCTCTCCATTTTTCACTCAACATCTTCTGGCAATCAAATCCAAGTGCCTCACACCACTGAAAGTTTTACAGCATTTTCAGGACAGCTGTGGCTGACATACACATTTCTCATCATATTAAAGTAGGTGCAAGAAAGCTCATTTCGCACAGTTTGTCATCTGAGAAAGTGAAAATGGATCATGTTAATAAAATAAAGTGAGAGATCCATACCACACGTTCTGTCAGCCAACAACTTGTATGAACCCCCCCGTAAATGCAAAGAGAGCACATCCAGATACATTACTGTGGGGCAATGGGATGGCAGCTATCAATTATTTAAAGGAAATCTGCCTGAAGACAGTCATGCCAAGCACCTGAATCCACTTTAATGGTGAAAGTGTCTGCATATGCTTGGAGACTTTAAATCCTTTATGAGTAACACTTCTGTTATGATGTACAAACGGAGAACAAACTTTAAGGAAGATTGTAGTGAGTGTGTGGCTGTTGTGGGTGATGCTGCTCAGCAGTGCTCAGGATCTGTAGTTCAGCTTGTTGCACAGATGAAAAGTTAAAACTTTCAAGTGCATAAACAAACATTTCCACATCACAGCTGCTTGCTTCAATGGCACTTACATTAAAAGTCTTAATGAAAAATTAAGTGAATGATGCTGTGTGCTGAAAAAGTCTTGCTTTTGACAAACTGATTAACTATAAAGCCTCCGCTAGCATTTCTTGGATGCATTCCCAGAAAAACCTCTTGTATTCAGGTAATTCCTCATCCTAGGTATATAAAAGAATACAAAACATTCTTAAATACAGAAAAAGTTGTTTTCAGCAACCAATAGGAAGTATTTCGATAATACTTACTTGGTGTTAAAATACACATATCAGCATTTACAGAGCAGACACCATTTCTCGTGCTAAGCTTGTTCTTCACTTAACACAATACTTCAAAGTCCTCAGTGCATTTTTTAAAAGCAGCAGAATATAATACTGCAGAAAATTTCACTCCACAAATCTTTCTTTTTCCTCCACTAAAATAAAAACTTGTTCAGTTCATGTAAGGGAATTTAATTTTAATAAACAGTTTGAAAACATTCAAATCATTTCACAGCTTTGTGCTTCTACAGAATCAAAATACTCAGATTTTCTGTTTGGTGAGGCTTTATGCTACTTACCTGGAAGCACAGATTGCATCAACATTTGCTCTGAAAGACAATCAGCACCAATCAAAGCAACAAGTAATTGGGAAGCAAAGTGTCAGACCAACGGAAATATCACACATGCATTAGCTGAAATTTTATTTACAAAAACCTGTAGGCAATAGCTACACAAAATGGCAATAGAAAAAAAAGAAAAAGAAAAATACATGTGTATATTTTTTTCAGTAGATTTCTGTACAAGTGAAGGAGGAAAAGGAGAAGAAAGAAAAGCCAACACTTAGAAGAAAAGAGAGTGCTCTGGAAATGTACAAGCAGAATGCCTGGCAGGAGAGAAATCTGGCAGCAAAACTCAAAAGAAATGCCCAGTGGGAATGAGTCTGGGAAGAGGGAAAGGAAGAGAGAAAGATGGAGAGAGAGAGACAGAGAAGTTGTTCTGTTGCCTGGCTGTAATACATAAACCTTACCAGCTACATGCATTGTCGTGGCCAGCAGGCAAAAAATTCCTGAACACTTGTCCAGGCAACATGCTTTGTGGAATGAAACCATCTGCAATTCTTCCTGAGAACCTAAATTAAGTTAGAACATGAAGTTTCTATTATGATTATATCTCTAATTTTAAAGTTTTAAGAATGGTCTGGGTCTGTATGATGGTTCTGCTCTTGCTCTTTAACGTCATGCTTTTTCACCACTTCCTGATCTTCTGTTCATCACCAGTATGGCGAAGAAGCCAGATGCAGACTCTCTGTCTGCAGAGAGTGCTTGCCTTCTTACATAAAATGATGCTGTGGGCACTCTGTTATGCTAATGCATCACAGCAAAATCACCTGCAAAATGTGGAAAGTGCCATGATTTGTATTCTTTCAGAATTAAAAAACACCCATCCCTGTCTATGTGGAAGGTACATAAAGCGGCCAGGTTGGATGGGATTCTGGGCAACCTGGCCTAGTATTAGATAAGGAGGCTGGTGGCCCTGCCTGTGGCAGCGGAGTTGGAAATTCATAATCCTTGAGGTCCCTTCCAATCCAAGCCATTCTATGATTCTACAATCAGGGTCTAATGTGTGGCATCCTGGTACCGGTTGGCTTCCTATGGTTCTCTTCAGGTACACTGAAACACCTAAGGTGAGATCTGTTAAGTTGTGGGTATTTAGGAATACACTTCTACTGTTATGCCTCATAACTTTTTCTGGTGTTTCTGTTCTGTTGCTGGCAACTGCTGAGAGCAATCTCATCTTGAAATGCACCTTTCTACAAAGTTTTGAGGATTATCCTGAGAACACTTCTGAAGAACGTTCTTCTCAGTTTGCATTGGACAATGTTGCCATGTGCAGCATGGGTGCCTGTGGAGGATTTTATTCCTCATGTGCAGCTCAGTAGCCCTTATTCTGTGATCTTAGGACATGTTGTTTCTCTTCAGCACAGCATTATAGGGGAAATTACATTTCCTCCTGTGTTCACAGTTTGCTGTGGCTCATAAAAATACAGATATATTATGAGCAGAGCGTCCCTGTAACTCCATGAGAAAGAATTGTTCTCTTCCTGGCTCCCCTTCAGCACTCAACAGTTAACATGACCAGGCTGCTTCTTTTGAGCCCATGAAATATTAACAGAGCTCTTGGCCAAGTACCACAAGAACTTCTGCCCAATCTGTTTCAAGAAATGTACTGTCTTTTGTGGGGAAGCAGGGAGGAAACATTATGGTAAAGTCTTATTTGGCTCTTTTCAGCAGAGCTGACAATATGTTGTGGGCTGAATGACTGTAGGCTGAACAAATTGGCAAGATCAAAACTGTTCTTTAAGCTTGACTGTGGAGCCAAGTCTGATGGGTAGCATAACATACTGTATAGCCTCTAGTCAGAATAAAATCCATATAGTGAAAATAAATAAATAAATATAGCATGCAATCATCAAATGTATTCATAAGTTCATGACTGGCTGCATAATCAAAGGAAAATTACTTCATTGGGCACACTGCCAAATAATGAACTGGAAAGGGTGAGATTTCTATTTCTCAAATTCGATTGTAGGCAACAGGGATGACATTTCTAACCCCACAAACCTCATGTTCCTTGAACAGTTCATTATGACCTTCATGTTTACCACAGTCCTAGAAATACGAGACAACACAAAGAAAATCCAGGAGGCAAATAACGCTGCCATCATGTAGAAACTGATCATTTAAGCAGGAAGAATTTGCTTGATTTGAAACACTGCCAATATTTTGCAGTTGTAGAATTATTTTCCATTTCACAATGTCTGCACTAGCTCAGCATGGATCCCTGTTTTAACCCACGTCTTATCACCTTAGAACTATGAGAACGCTTTGGGTCTCCTTGGCTGAGGCAATACCTTGACGCAAATGCCCTCCTTATGACTCTCCACTGCCTTTCTCCATGCTCTGTAAATACTCTGGAAGAAAACAGAAACATGGACAGAAGGAAATCATTGAGAAGTTTTCCCAGTATGGGAGATATTTAACTGCCCTACTCTTAAAAATCTCCAAGGGAGAAGACTTCATAGCCACCTTGAATAGCTGTCTGTTTTGGCACATCAGCTCTTCCAGATATCAAAATCCTGTTGCTGCACATTAACCAAACTATTCCCCACACTATCCCTAGCAGGGATAGGATGAGCCAGAACCATACTCCTCCCCACCAGGTTTTTCAAAAGAGAAAAGTTGGACCAAGTCTTCTATCCTCTACATAACAAATTGAAATCCTCCAGTTTTTCTATTGGCCTTACATTCTCCTCTTACCATTCTTTTACCTTAAATTTATATATCATGTTCCCAATGAGTTTCTACAATATTGCAAATAGATATGCATACAACCTAACAAATGCACAAACATCCAGAATTATTTATTTCTTTTTGTAATAGTATTACATTGTTGACTCATTTTTGGACCCAAATTAACATTTCCTTTCCATTCTACATGACATTATTGCCTACTTACATGGTCACTTCTTTATATTTGTACGTGATATTTTTCCATCCGCACATCATAATTTGTATTTTTGCATTCAATTTCATGTGGTTTACTTAAGATATTTCACCAATTTATCCAGTCTTCACTTTTATACTCATTAATGGAAACGCTGAAAAGAATGGCATATGTTGATTTAAGAGTAATGCCTCCTTTTTTTTTTTCCACAGAAACTACAACAGATACTAAGAGCACCATAGCATTACTTGATAGAGCAAATTCTCAGCTAGAGCACTACTCCACAGTATAGACATCACTATTAGCTATGCATTTGTGTCAGTGATGAACAAGAGCCTGCATGCTGTGCTTGTAAGAATCTGCACCAGGGAAGGTGACCCGCTGTCACTGTTACAACTGCTGAACTGCACCACCCACCACCTCACATTGCACTCACATCCACGATCTCCATCAACACTCAGCAACTATTGAATGTTACTCGTTGCAATTTTTTTCACATGGGGGAATTCAACGTCACACTTCTGCTTGATATGCACTTCTATGTCAGATCCTACTCTGTCAGGCTGCCCTGCTGCTGCCATCTGTCATGTAGCAACAGCATGTAATGGAATATTGGTGGGAAGGTTCAGCCTTTACTGCCATATCACCACCATCAGCTTCTGAAGCCATCGGCTGACATCATAAAAAAGAAGGTATTACTTTTGGAGCGGTCCTTGTGCATTTAAAATGCCTCCCTAGGTCCCAGTTTGTAACACATTCCAATTGACCTCTACATCAGTCACACAGCCTTGTTGCCTACACACATTCCACTGGCCCTTGGTAAAAAGTTCTAGATGCTACAGTAGGTGCATTCAGTACGGACACATAGGCAGTGTGCTAGGCAACACAGTGCATAGTATTTTGATGTGCAGAGAGCAGGCAAAGACTTGAACACGATTAGGTGATGTTATGATCCCCAAAGTAGGACATTCTTGAAGGGGAACAGAAAGCAGTCATTTCTTTAATGACTACAGCTACCCAGGCCCTCCCTTTTTCCTCTTAATTCCTTTTTCAAACCTCTCCACATTGTATTAGGACTACTCAGTATGTTCTTGGAGATGATAACTGATTTCTAACAGTGACTGCCTCAGCTCATTCCTCAGTTGTCACACATTTATTGTGTGCTTAAATTAGCAACCTATTCTTAAATCTCTTTCTTATTATTTATTTTGTGCTCTTGATTATTGGCCATCAAAAGAGGGTTAAGGATTTTAATTATTTGCACGGTGCCAGATGAGATCAAATGTACTTAAATGAACATTAAATAAATAATAAAATTTGACTCTTGGGCCAAAACAACGGTGATAAACAAAAAAATATCTTGTTATTATCTCCTAATGAGAACTACTGATTATTTTTTACATTTCATTTGACAGTCTTCATCTCAATTAATTCTACACGGCAAAGTTAAATTATTCAGCTTGATAAAGATCATCCTGACTCTAAAGCATACTTATTAAAAGAAATTAAAGCCTGGTGCTAATCAGGCAAATGAGCATGTGTTACTAACAACATACAAAGCCCAAAAATGAGATAATGACAGGTAGGGTGACAGATAAAAAGCATTGCAATTTAAAGGTAGTGAAATGCTTTGAGCTTCTTGAAGGGAACAGGCATTGTTGATGAGTCTTCTGAAAGAACATCCTTTGCTTTTTAAATTGCGCTTCTTTCATATCTCAGATATAAAAGCGTCTGCACTGAAAAGTGACTGAAGATGATAAAAGTAGTAGGTTGAGAAGTTGTACCAGAGCCAGGAAAGAGTCACAGAATGAAAAGCAGGGCTTGTTGTTAAATAGCACAGAGGCAGTTTTCCACAAATGATCCAAGAATTCCCACTCTTGGCACATCTATTCAGAAAGTTATTTCAAAGTGAACTGGGAAATCTGGATTCAGTGCTGATTTCCACTGACCTCCAATATATCTCTATCAGGATATGTTTGTTACATCTGGAGTCATGGCAATGCTAATGTATTGATGTGTCTATGGGTAAGCACTACACAGGTAAGTAGATCAGCAAAGCTTGCATTTTGATGGAATGAAAATTCCTGAATTAGCTTCAAATGCTTTGTTTTGCTCAATGACAAGTGAGATTATTTGCTTTTATTTTCATGGAACACGTGGTTCTCCGGTTGAGAGAATTATCTATAATTTTTTCCTGGCAACCCTTATTGTTTTGGGACACAGCCTGACATAGTAACCTTGCTCTGTTAAGAGAGATTTCCTCTTGAAATGTAAGTCTGAGTAGTCAGGAAGGTTTTTGTATTAGCAACCTCATGGACTGGAGGGATCAGTTTTGCCTGATGTGGGCAGGAGGATGTGCAGTCCTGTGCAGCCCCTCAGTGACTGTGGGCTTCACACTCCAGTAAGAGCAGCCTGCAGACTGCCCATGAAGAGCAGATTCATGCTGCAGGGTTTGATGAGATTACAAAAGAATTATTTCACAGCTCAGGAAATCTTGTCTGGCATGGGTGCCCTGGAGCTTGGCCCACTGGCCAAGGTGGTTATGTGATCCACAGGCAGTCATTGGCAGCATGCTCTCCCCCAGCCCTTTTGGAAAACACATTTTTCAGAGTGCTATAGGTATGTTCAAGGACTCCCACGGTTTAAGTTAATTTTTCACATAGCTTATCCAAGACAAGACATAAGCACAGGGAAGTGCCATGTGGCCCAACATACTGTGGATTAAACACCTGAATATAATTACAACTTTTGCACACCACTTACTCACGGGTTCTCTGGGGAGAGGAAGAAGAGCTAGTTTATGCTTCAGAGAATTCCAAGTCCTGAGCTTCTCCAAATATACAGGAGGAAATTCACCCAAATATTTTGCTTGTCAAAGTACGCTCTCGTCTGCTGTTTCTTATTTTGCATGGGTTGTCCATGGATGTTATCAAACCCAGACCTCACCTTCCAGAAACAAACACAAATTATATGTAAGTGAAAAGGTAGTCAGGGAAATGTAACAGTTGTTTCCATCACATTATTGACCAGAACCTTCAGGTTCTATTATTGGTCTTTTGATGTATGCACTGAACTACAGCATAACAAAGTACATCACTGTTAATTGATAATAAGCTCTTTCTACTCTGTCAAGATGAGAACCTGAAAGAAATGACATACGAAAAGACAAAAGATGGATACAGACTATTTTCATTATTTGAACTTGCATTCCTGTGCTCAGCAGTCTCTTTTGCACAATAACAATAATCAGAGTCTGCATTTTTGGGTCTGCAGTTGACAATCAGAGAAAAGGTGCAAATAGAGGACTGTGTAACTATTTACTTAGAAAGGAGTAAAATCATGCCATGTCATTCTGTGATCGCATTTTCAATCGTAGAAGCCACTTGGGTGCAAAATGATAAATGTAATTTTGTTTATTCTTCCCTTTATAAGTCATGCAAAATAAAAGGAATACATTCCAACATGGATATAACTTTCAATAACTTGTTCCAGGTTACCCTCATCTGTTTACTACTAACACTGAATTGCCATGTGACACTTTTCCGCCTGAAATCATATAGATAGGAATTAAAAAACTGAGAGCATTAAAGATATCCGTGTTGGCATAGTACCTGGATTTGATTCAAATTCAAATATTCACATTACAATTTTTTGCAAAAAGAAAAAAAACCTTCTCATCTCATAGAATATCAGAAATTGAATTTTTATATGCAGTTCTTAGAAAGCTCATCTAGCATCTCCATGCATGTGCATTTCGTCACATTGTGGTGGGCCTTTCAGGAGTTCACATCCATCTCATTTATAATGCAATGATAAGCATGACTCACAATGCGATTCCTGAATAAAATTAAGTGTATTTTGAGCCTCGTGACTAGAATTTATTGTTGTTAACATGTTTTAAGAGCCCACTAAATCTTAAATTTGAGAAATACTTTTGCCTGATATTTAATTGTAAATACATCTGATTTTTGGGGTTGGTTAAATACAACCACAAGACCTTGTGTTATACCTAATTTTTTTTCCCCCAATTTCTGACTGTACTACAATTGGCAGATATGATCGTAACATTCAAGATAGAATGATGGCATAGAGATGCAACGCATCATCCTGTTGCTTAGCGTAGCATATAATTTACAGAGCTGTACGTTTTTGTAGCTAGCACTGATCTGGTCTGTCCTGCTAAGTTATTCAATAAACACAGTGCTTCACACTAGCAGCATTTGTTGGGAATGTGTTATCTGGGTATGTATTATTTGGGTAGATTTTCTTTCCCTCAGGAGTGCTGTACAGTAGCTAAATTTAGGTACTCACAATGAAGTTCAATCATGAAGTGCAGGTATAACACAAACCTGCATTAAAGCCAGGCAGTGTTGGGTGCTCAGGAATGCAGGATACTTTATATAAACTCTCACAGACAAGAATCATATTACTTAATGAGCAGCATGCCAAAATAAATTTGCAATAAGGACATTGCTGAGTTAAAAGAAGAAACCTTACTCAAAATGCAAGCCCAGCTTTTTCTTGAAGTTTGAAAATCCAGCTGACCAGTAATTCTTCTGCACATGCCAATCCCTCCTTTCCTGTGTGACTAGCAATGATGAACTATTTTTCAGCTTTCCAGGTACACAAGGTAGGTTTTACTTATTTGTTTGCCTGATGACAACAGTAAGTTGCTAAGATGAAGCTTTGCAGACTTGACATGGCAGAAAAACCCCAAACCCTTGTCCTTCTCAACGCTCTTTTTTTCCTCTAACAGTTCTACTGTTGGATAAGAGACTGCAGTTTAAACAACCTGCCAGAGGGATTTCTGTTGAACAGTAGAGTTAACTGTTATTTCACATAAGGTCTCCAGAAGCAGTTTCTTTTGTATTTGTTTTTTTCAATGCCATATCTTCAATATTCTTTTTACATTACATTCTTACCCATAAGGGATGTGATCATGTATCCTTTACTATTTCTATGGGCACAGCAAGTTGTTACTGAGACATGCTCTCCAACCCAATGCCTACTATCTGATATAGAACATTATACATAAGCCTTTTGTATCAATAGAAAATTAGACTTCCGCTTTTCACTCTGGGGAATAAAAAGAGGATGAAATTGCAATTCATAATTCACTGATATGTTAAAATAAAGCCTTCTCCAACAACTGCTGCCATCCTTTCACAACACTTCATACTTTACCCTATCCCTACTTCTCTTGACTTAATTTCCTCCTGGGAGTCTTTCAGAAATAGGAATCGGTGTCAAGGCATTGCAAGCCCACATTCCTTTCTCTTAGGGGCAGAGAAACAAAGATGTTCTGAAGTTATGGCTAAACATGTAAAGACACAAATAACTCATGCGTATCTGACACTGGTGGGTAAGCTCTGGCAGCACAGTTTAGATGATCCGTTATGCCAAGAAAGCCTCTTTTACACTCTTTCTGGGCCACTGTAAACCCAAGGTACAGGAGAGCAGCAAATCCTAGAGTACATTTCATATGCAAACGTAAGAATAGGAAAAGCTGAAACTGGAGGCAAAAAAATCAGACAGAAATGTAAGTGCCAAACCTTGGCAAATGCAGCTCAAAGAAGTGCGTGTCTGGCTCCATGCACCTGAACTGAAACATTCTTGGCTTGAGAGGTGACTTGTCCTGGAAAAAAGGATGTGGAATCATTTCAGTGTCAGAGAAAGATCCTATCTGTAAAGCCCTGTTATCTTGTGAAGAAAAAATGTGATATCAAAGACAGATCATATGAAAGATGGGCAGCAGCCCACAAACTGTTCAGTGGTATACAATCTTCCAAGGTTTTGCCAAGTTAAAGGGAAGACATGCCAACAAAAACAGTTTTTCCTCCCAGCATGAGACCAATTACACATCCATTGTGTTCAAGGCCAACGGCTTCTGCTTTCCCCTGAGCTCTGAGCTGGCAAGGTGTGGGGGGCACTGCCTCTCACAGTCACTTCCTTCAAATGCTCCAAACTTCTGGCCAAAACAGCCTTGTGCCAGGCAATTCGAGATCTGCCTCTGTGCCTCTGAGCTTTGGCATTGCATCAGACAGTTTGTTTGGTACAACACACTTGTTCCACTGAGTAACTCCATTAAGCTGAGAAACTAGTTTCTAAGCAGTTTTCCTCCTCTTGTACTATGGTTAGATGGAGCGTGTATCCCCAGCTTAAATAAATCTTGTTTATGCTTTTTCTATGCAAGGGTAAGCATAAAGGGTATTGTCCCTTAAGAAGCTATACTGAACAATGAAATGTTTAGTGCACACATAGGAAAAAAGTATTATTTAAGATTATCATGGAACAGCATATAACCATATTAGAAACAGCATTGTATATTAGTTTTCATTTACTAAGTTCTTATCTAATATACCTGCCAGGATATCTCAGCCATCCAGGCATGCAAGCTGAAGAATCTGCTTGAAAAAATATTGGATATGGACATTTACAACATGCATTACATTATACTTCTTTCTAGTTAAGAATATGCAACGACTGATATACATCAATGAAGCTTTCTCGATTTCAGTGCAGTGGTGCCAATTCACATTATTCAAGGATTTAGCTGTACTTTTCCTGCTAAAAACAGAATTTCAAGCTGTCCAAATAAACATACTTCTGACACATATGTAAATAAACAAAAAGGAATGAGACAGACTTGTTTTGATGTGACTGTTCACTGAGACACCCTTCTTTCCCACAACTGCACATTCATGCAGCACTGACAAAGCCCCACGCCTCATCCTTCTCAGTAGTTTCTCTGCCTCAGAGTAGTTGAACATAACAATCTCCTCACACTTGCACAGCATTCCTGTCTCTCTTCAGTTCCTTGCCCCACCTCAGATATTTCCCTCTGATGTCTCTGGCCACACATGAATTCAAGCTTAGAAAATAGGGTCTTGCCACCTGCAATAGTTAGAAGGAACTTTTTCAGAAAGAGGAAAAAAAAAATACCACTTAGCAGCAAAAATCTTGTGTGTGATTTCATAGAAGCAGACAAATATGTACTTTACCAGTTCTTGGAGTCCTTCCTTCTTACCCAGAGTGGCATGCATGTGTGTGCATGTGCATCCTTGTTCCACGTAGTGCAGGAGGCCTTCTTCTTGTCCCACGCCATCCTGGGATCCTGATACAAAAACTGGTAATTATTTGTTTGTGCTCTGCAAAGTTTTTCTAACTGCAGGCCTTTGTTACTCAATGTGACTGTGAGAAGGACTGGACTGCCTGGAGATGAGAGGCTCCTCCTCTGCCATGCTGAAACACAGAGCATGCATGCATTTGACATGGCTTTATACAAACAAAAACAAATTTATAAAAACAAAGCACAAATTTGAGGTAAAGAACTTTAATTAAGAGCATCACATCACATATTCGAGATAAATTTACTGATTACTTCCTTTCTTTAGAGAAGCACATAAGATAATTCACTTGCAGAGGCAAGTGTTTTGTTCTTGTTTAACTGTAATTAGATGGTTTAACTTGTTTCTTGTTTAAGTGTAATTAGATGGTTATTCTTGAGTTTAAAAAAAATTAGCCATATTAGTATAGTCTGTATCTGCCAACCATAGATTTTTGCTTTAGAACATAAATAGTGTACTGTAAATACATTAGCATACAAACTAAATTACTTTTAGAAAGGACTGACCCCTCAGGTGTTATATTGCCATATTTGTATGTAGATAATACACACAATTTGAATTCTGCTGCTTTTATCTTTTTTGCTTTTTTATTAAGTGGCAAACAAAACCTTTTTGATATTTGTTGTTTCCTTTTATCTTCTGAGGGCAAAAAATATCCAAATACTTTTGTATGAACCCAGCTTGCTAACCATTCTGATACTTTAAGCACTAGATTAGCTACAACCATGAGGGGCAATAGGTTGCTGTCATTAGTGGGTATTTCACCACTGATATCAATGAATTTTTAATCAGGCAATGAATCCTGT